TTAAATTAAACAAGATTGTATGTACTCTGACACAGAAGTAATGTAATAACATCCACTTAGTAAAAAAGTAGAGATTCTACAGGAAAGTATCGAAGAAAGATAAAGATTTTAGACTGAAGATTTTATTGCAGGTAAACTAAACACCCTTTTATGCAAAACTGTACTACAATACATAAACATATATACAAATACATAAAAATTAAATTAACTAAAGTGCAGAAAAATAGAATAACCTTTAAAAGCTGGATAATTAAGCAGAAATACATTTACTATACTACAAGTACAAGATTATAAACTAGCGCAAAATAATTAGCATGCAGAATAGTTTTCATATTGCATACAAAGATAGCCAAAAAATAACACATTCAATCAAAATAATAGCAAAAATGAATACTGCACTGCTCTTAATTTTACAAAAACAATTCTAACTACAAAAATACTAGCGTAATATGCTAGATTTTAATACAAATCAGAATTTATTAATTTATACTTTTCACAAATTATATTATTAATAATACGAAAAAGCAATATGAACAATTTTTATTCAGTTTCTAAAATTCACAATATAATATACTTAATATATACACACTTACCTTAAAAAGTTATCATTTTCTTCATTCATCTTTTCCGCATCTCTGGCTTTATATTTTATTAAACGTTCGATCAGCTGTCGATTTTCTTCCTATAAATTGAGAAAGTTCAAATAAATGTTATATAATAAATAGGTGATATAAGTAAATATCAATATCTACAAGAAGTAATCTGCTTTCCATTACCAATGTATAAACAAAAAAAGATGAATATACAAATTTCTAACAAGAACAAAATGTTATATAACGTACCTGTGTTTTTCTAAGCTTTTCTTCTAAAGATGCAAAAGCGAGTTGCAAGGCTTGGTGTTCATCCTTGAGCATCTGATTAATGCCTTCTAAATCTTTCTCTCTAGCAAGGCATTTAGTTATTTCTAAACGTAAGTTAGTATTAGCTTCCGAACTTTCTGCAAGACTGAAAAAAACAAATGGATCAATTAGAAAATCTAATAAATTCATGAAAATTCATTTATGAATTAATAAATAATACATAAAGATTATGATCATAAATTACCTAGATTCCTTTCCATGAAGTTCTTTTGTAATTTCCTGCAATTTGTTATTGAGATCTACAATTTGTTGCGTATGTTCTCCTTTCCTTTTATGCAGCATTGCCAATTCCTCCGCTTGCTTTAAGAGTCTAGCTTCGAGATCGGGATTTCCACCCATGCCAATACCACCATTGGCAGCTTCGCGACGAAGAGTCTCATTTGCAATTGTCAATTGCATATTTGAATTTCGCAATGTATTTGCATTTTCAAATAATCTATTGTCTGCAAAATATAACAAAAATATAGTCAAAATAATGTATACACTAAAACTAAAGTAAACGACTACAAGCTAACACAACCAACGCAGCTAATAGAATCAATAAACTATTAAACTAGTCTAGTGGATAATTTTTATAGAAGATTAAACAAAATAGGCAAATGAGTGAGACATAATCAAGTGATAATAAAACAACGAATTGTAAATAAAATCAAATAAGACATGGTAAACAACAGCTACAGAGGGATAGTCCCCTGTGTTTAAAGACGAATAGTGGATTGATACTCGCATCCAATCGACTTAACCTAATAATAAATCTACGAAAAACTTACGTAGGCTAATGAGATCTGCAAAACAATTAGTTTGCGATCTGTTTCTCTCGCGTAATTGCGAAATCAAATCTTTCCGCCAGTTAATGTCTTCCCGGGCGACACCGAGCGACACGGCTGCTTCGTTTGAGGTCATTTCTCTCGGCAAATCCACGTGCACCGTTGAAATAAGAGATCACTAATGATTTAACTTTAATCAGGATCGTTTTAATGAGGAGGTCACGAATAATGTTCTTCGACAGTCCGTCACTCCACGACAGTCCCCTCTGCATGTACGACGAGTAACTCCATCCGGTGAAGTTACGTTCGATCATCGGCCAGCGTGTAATGTCCGAACGTCTCGTGACGATCGCGCGACATCGTCGTATCAAAGCAAAATACTTTTAATTATGAAAACAGCTATTCTAACCTAAAAGTACCAAACACTATGCTCCTACTTTGAAATTGTTTGCTATCGCTGTACGCATCGATACTACATTACTGTAGATCGCAATCGAAATGCTGCCGTATTGCGATATATCGATATGTGCGTGAAATCGATACTCTTCACTTGAAGATTATCGATAACAGTTTTAGAGCATTGTGTCGACCAGAGAAAAATCTGAGAGAACCCATGCCGGCCTTTTTTTTTTCCTATTATCGTCGAAATCTCCCGTTCACTACCGCCAGTACATCCATTTTCGATTAGGGACCTACGTAACTACATCCACTATCTGACTCTGTCGATAAAACTGTATCGACAAAAATAGATGTGGTTCATGTCTGTACTACATCCACAGGAGTGTCTATACCCTCTATATGGATAGTCTCCACGCTTCTATTCTGTGAATGTAGTAAAGACACAGTCGTTTTTTTCATCGTTTAGGAGCTTTATTAAAAGTTTAATTTACGCGGTAATTAAGATTTAATTTGAGACGGCATCTCTCCCGTCTCCGACACCCACCCGTATTTAAAGAAACCTTGTAGGCTTACATTCATGTATCACTTACATACATACTTAGATTAGTGTTACACATTAATCTATCTTGCATAGATTCTCTTCATCTTCTTTCTTCTGGCCAGACTAAACCCACCTTACGTTGCTCCTGGCCAATATTCTGGCTTCAAATGTCAGAAATCGACAACAAGGAGAAATACTCCTTTTTGTTACCGACTAATCATCGCCGGTATGCCGGCGATAAGCGTAAGATTTTACGCTTTTGTATGATACGCGAACCGCGAACGCGTCGCGAAGGGGCCATCATATTAACGAAATCGATTAAATATTAAAATAAACAACTGCCAAAAAAAAAAATAATTCCAGTAAAATTAAATGAACAAATTTAGCGTTTATTCTTTAATCGCATTTATTAAAAATATATATCAAATTATATTAAATATATACCCCCGACTAGAATTAAATGTACATTAAAAAAAAAAATCTTTACGTTAACAGCATTCCAATTTGAAAGAACTCGATCGCAAATATTACGAAATTTTTCGATTAAACTTTTTATAAAATAAACTTTATTATATAAATAAAACTTTAATTTAAAAATAAACTGAAAATGATTGAATCAATTACCATCCGATAGAATCTATTCTGCGTATACGTATTGGCATCGATTCGAATTACGATTTATTGCAGAATCTCATCTCAAAAGCATGCGAAGATGAGAAATTCAGATGAATGAGGTAAGATCCGAAAGGGGCAACAAATTTTCCTTATATTGATAAAACTATTTCTTTATATCTTGTAAATTATTAACGAATTTTTTGTATAATGTATCGTTTTAAAATTAAGAGAGAGTATTTTAAGAAACGTAAAACTGAACGAGATTACAAAAACAATTACAACTAAATAAAATTTTTCTTTCATGACAAAATATATATTGGATCTCACGTCATATTAATTGGTACAAAATCCAATTATCAATCACTTTGTATGGATAAGTTATAAAAGTTTAAGTTAAAGAGTCGGAGAGTAGAAATCTGCAAAATTTTTTTTTTAGCAAAACGGAATGAGCGCAAAAATTTCTTTTTGCGGATATGGTATAATGATACCATGGAATGCACTCAAAGTTTATTTTATAAAGTTTAATCAAAATTTATATAATATTTGCGATCGGGTCTTTTCAAATCGGAACGCTATTGACATAAAGATTTTTTTTTTGAATGTAGATTTATTTCTAGTCGGTGGTATGTATTTAATATACATTATATTATATTATATTATTTTATTCGCGAGAGAGAAAGAGAAAAAAGAATAAACACAAAATTTGTTCATTTAATTTTAATGGAATTATTTTTTTGGCAGTTGTTTATTTTAATATTTAATTGATTTCGTTAATATGATGGTCCCATCGCGACGGGTTCGCGTTTCGCGCATCATACAAAAGCGTAAAATTTATACTTATTGCCGGCATACCGGTGATGTGATTTGTCGGCAACAAAAAGGAGTATTTCTCCTTGTTGTCGATTTCTGGCATTTGAAGCCAGAATATTGGCCAGGACCAATAAAAAGTGGGTTCAATCTGGCCAGAAGAAAGAAGATGAAGAGAATCTATGCAAAGTAAATTGGTGTGTGTAATATTAATCTTAGTATATATGTAAGAGATATATGAATGTATAACCCTACAAAGTTTCCTTAAATACGGGTGGGTGTCGGAGACGGAAAGATGCCGTCTCGAATTTACAGAATAGAAGCGTGCAGACTATCTATAGGAAGGGATAGTTGGCACGCTTCTATCCTGTGGATGTAGTACAGACATGAATCACATTTACTTTTGATAATGCGATTTTATCGACAGTGTCAGAAAGTGGATGTAGTCACGTAGTTTCCTAATCATAAATGGATGTATTGGCTGTAGTGTAGGGGCGATTTCGACGGTAATAGGAAAAAGGCCGGCATGGCCTCTTTCAGATTTATGTCTGTGGCCTTATGTCTACGATGCTAGATCGGTCGGAGATCTCGGATAAAGAAGGAGTTGACCAATCGCATTGGTCATGTGACCAAATCACCAGATTGTTCAAATGTGATTTGTTTATTCTTTCTCTATCCAAGATCTCGGACCGATTTCTAGCATCGGGCTTTACTCGGGACATTCAACATTGCGAATTCAGACATTTTAGAGATTACAAAGAACGATTTTATTTTGAAAAAATAAAAAAAATGTGTCTTATGTTCGTAAAAAAGCTTTCCCTTTAAAAAGAAAATTTCAACTTGTATCTTCCTCGAATATGCGGAAAGTTAGCTAAGAGGGATAAATTTGCGTACTATCTGAAGGCAACTGTAATTTCTATTATCTATATTATCTATAATATTAATAAAATGTCAGTGTAATAAACACGACTGAAAAAGAGATGTAGATCTCTTTTTTAAATTTCTGTGTGATTTAGCGTGTACCGTGTAATTTACAAATAAAGGCAATAATAAAGTTGACAATTGATGAAAAAGATCCTGTCCTTCATATTCTCTCAAAGTATAAAAAACCATTTATTTGTTGTATCGATATTAAAGAGTTGTGATGCAATTAAAATTTTGTTCGTATTAATGTGAAAAATTAAATTATGCACTTATTATGATATAAATGTATTTTGTGTTAGCAAAAATCTACAAAATGCGACCATATCATAATAGGAATTTATTTGTTAAGTTAGAGATGGAGATTAAGCTAGATTTCGAAATTGTACAAAATACAGAAATAAAAATAATTTTTAGATGCATTAATATATAAATGAAAGAGAGAGATTTATTATACTAATATAATTAAAATAATTTATGTGTCACAAGAATTTTAATGTAACGAATCATGTTAGAAATACATAACCAAATTGTTTTTATTTATAAGAAATATGTATAAAAGTTTACGTAATTTACAAAATAAAAAATCAAAACAAAAGTGGCAAAAGAGGTTGCAATAATAAATTTAATAATATTTTAAATAACGAACGGAACAGATAATTTTATATAAAATTATAAATATACATATTGCAAACATAATTTTTTTCTTTAAAAAATGGAGAATTATATGCATAATGCTAAATGCTACAATTATCATTATAGTTATGTATATAACATCATGTATTTAACAAGAAATTCAAATCAATTATAAATAAATAATGCATATAATATTAATATTATAATTTTATAAAATAAAATGATCGATTTTAGAAAAATGTCAGAATTGAATAAGCAAATTATATATAGTAGAAGAAACAAAAAATTTAAAATGGTTAAGAAACGAGCTGCACTCGATGAATACGTCTTTTATTCAATACTTAATACTGATATTCCTATGGAATTAGGAGTGGCAGCAAGTATGGTAAGAATTAAAATAAATAGTTATTAACGCATTTTAGCCTTTTAATATCAAGTGCAAATATAATAATTTTAAGTGTTTATTGGACATCTATTTTTAATATATATATATCATATATGTTTGTTTTAAAATAAATTGTTTAATAATTAGAAATTAATCGGTTTTAACATACATTTAATATTTATGTAGATAACACGTGGAATACTTGGTCTTTATAACAAATTAGCAACCGATCGAGCAAAGAATCCCTATGTGGTTCAATGGCAGAATTCCGGGTAATGCAAAGTTTCTGTTTCCTTGTTAATCTATTTTAAAGTAAATATTTAATATCAAATTTCTTCAAATTTTTTAAATTTGAGTCGTGTGACTTTTTCACATGTAAAGTATAAGCATATAGATGCGAATATAATAGTGTATTTTTTTTAATTATGTAGGGAACATATAATTGTTTTGCAAGGATACGACCATAGACATTTAAAATATCTCGAGAATGAAGCAAAGTTTGCAGCCCTCGGTACGCATGCCATTTATCATCGATGGTATCACAATCGAATAATGCTAGTACTATCGGTATTTGGACGAAAGGAAGAAATCGAAGATGTCTTTGATGGACTCTCATATTTACGATAGTGATATAAACAAACGGTATTTGAACAGTTTTTAAATACTCAACTAAAACTATTTTTTTATTTGTAATTTTTCCAATGCATTAGTTGCGATACTTACAGTTAAATTATAATTAAATGAAATGTCAATATATTTTTACACACGAAAATACTTCCAACGTTGTTACACCTCGTTTATTATCATATTCTTCCACATCGATAGCTGATACGTGATAGAGAAGAGAATATAATTATTAGCTGAAGCTATGTAAAAGTTATATTTGCAAAAATAATTAAAATTTAAACAGAATTTATATTATCTTACTCATTCTATATAAAGGATCAAATTATTTTCATGAATGTAAAGAGAATTAGGGAAGAACGATCGAAGATTGAACAATAATAATATTAATTAATATCTTTACATACGAAAATACTCCAACACTGTTGTATTTTGTTTATTATCATATCCTCCTACATTGATAGCTGCTACTTCATAGAGAAGAGAGTATACATATATTAGAGAGAGATACGTAAAGTTTATATTTACATAAATAGTTAAAATTTATCGATTTATTAAATTTATACAATCTTATTTATTTTATATAAAGAAGTTATTTTCACGAATATGAAGAGGATCGAAATTCTTCACATGAGAGGAAAGAATGGCCGAGAATTAAATAATATTATATTTTTATATACAAAAATACTTTCAATACTGTCATATCTCGTTCATTATCATATTCTTCCGCACCATAGCTAATATTTAATAAAGGAGAGACTATAATTATTACTAAAGCTACGTAGAAATTATATTATCAGTTAAAATAGTTTATATTTAATAGAATTTTTATATAATCTTACTTATTCTGTTTAAAAAAGTTATATTTCCACGAATATAAAGAGAGAAATTCTTCATATGAGAAAAGAAAACGGTCGAGGATTATGTATATGTAAACATAATATTATTTTTACACATGAAAATAATTCTAAAATACTGTTACATCTCGTTCATAAAATCATACATCATATTTTTCCACATCGATAGTTGATAGAGAAGAGAATATAACGTATCAACTATCACTACGTAAAACTTACGTTTACAAAAAAAAATGGTTTAAATTTAATAAAATATATATCTTAATTATTCTACATAAAGGAGTAATTGTCACGAATATAAAGAGAGAAATATATTCCTCTGAAATTAAAAGAGAACAGCCGGTAAAGAGAGAGATAGAGAGAGAGAGAGAGGAAGAGAGAGAGTGTACCGATCGTGTCCTCGAAAGGACGGTAATATCCGACTAATCTGACTCGCGGAGGATCTGGCGAGTATCACCGTCCTGGAAGCGCGTGACACGTACTCGGCGAGCGAGCAATGAAGGAAGTAAAGAACGTGTTAAAGCGCAAAAGGTTGCGAAGCAAAGCAAAAGAGAGGTAGGCGCCACGCCCGCCCCACCATGCTACAGTTCTGTTCGCTGAGCGGGGGTGTCGGGGGGTGAAGGACTGGCAGCGGTCGGCGCAGTCGCCCGCCGCGTTTTATGCAACCAGTCTTGCTTCGGAGCGAGCGAGAATCCACTGCCCCGGCCTTTGACAGACGGGATAACGCGTGCAGTGTCATCGTTATTGTCCGTCGTCTCCTCCGTCCGTGCGTCGTGCGTACGTTAACGACTTCCCGTAACGTGCGTAACCCGTGCGGTTCTCCGGAGACAAAAGGGGACACCCTTTTATAACACGTATCTGACGTATCACGTAACCGGGCTTGAACGAATCCGGTACCCCACTGTGCTTTTGAGGCAGGTCACGACGGGGCCTATCTACGAGCCTGGCGTATAATATCGTATATCGCTACCGTCTGTTTTTCCGTGCTGACACTGCCGGCAAGGCAAGGCAAGGCAAGGCAAGGCAAGGCAAGGCAAGGCGAAGCGAGGCGAGGCGAGGCGAGACGAGAGCGAGTTGAGCTGAGCTGAGCCAAGCTGAGCGCGCGGCACGAAAGGTGACAAGGCGGGTGTCGGCGGTGTGTTCGCCCGATATTGTCTCGCTCCGCTCCGCGCAGAGGCAGAGCTGTGCGCCACACGTACGAATCACGATCGGGGCACCCCTGCAGTGGTACAGTGTTGGCTCGTGTCCGCCGACAGAGTGTCAGTGCGACGGCGGTCGGTGGTGTGCTGACACACGGGTGCATTATCCGCGGCTGTGTGTGCGTGCGTATGTGCGTGACGTGTGCGTAAAAGCGAGAGAGCGACGGGCCGGCGGTGAAGGTGGTGCAAGAGAGAGGGACGGGCGCGACAGCGATGCGGCCGTGAATCCTCGATACGTGGCTGCGTTCACGCCGCGTGTACTCCACACGACACGGATACAACGACAACAACGACAACGACGACGAGGACGACGAAGACGTCGACGACGGCGACGGCGGCGGCGACGACCACGACGACGACCACGACGACGACGACGACGACGACGACGATAACGACGACGTCGATCACGACGACGACGACGACGACGACGTTGTTGGTTAGGAAACGACTACGACCGGAGCGACAGAAAAAGGCGCGTACTTATAAAAGGCGCTCCGAATTATCACGCATTCACGTAACCGCGACGCGTCACCTGACGCGTGCAGGTTCCTAGCTCGGTCGACTCCTTCGACCTCCTCCTCTTCCTCGTCGTCACTATGGCGGACGACGAGGTTCTCTTCGACGATGTTTACGAGCTCTGCGAGATTATCGGCAAGTGAGTAACGAGAATCACACCAGGCAGGGTGAGAATGTGGGAGAGAGAGCGAGAGAGAGAGAGAGAGAGAGCGAAAGAGAAAGAGAGAGCGAGAGAGAATGAGAGAGAGAGAGCGCAAGAATCTGCGAGTTAGGGTGCAAGGAGGTGCTGCGCGAGAGAGAAAGCGCGATGCGATTGGATGAACGGCAGTGGGCGGAGGTTACTTTTGAACGTGTTGGTCGCGTGCGTCTTGTACGTGCATGCGTTCTTCCCGCGGCTGCGCGAATGTAACCTGCCGAACGGGGAAAATAATGCCCATATACGCGCACAAAGATCGCATCGCGTCGCATCGGTGTGACACGGAACGAGAGTGGGTAACGATGTGTAAGATTGGGGAAGGAGATGCGAGAGTCAAGTGAGGAAGACGAGTCAGGCGTCGTGTGTGCAAGTACTGCAAGTTCCTTCCGTTTGCCTCCCGTTTCCACCTTCGTCGAATTCCATCCGGTAATCCGACTCGTCACGCATGCTTACGGGCCCGAATAAAATTCAGTATCATTTTCCTGCTCATTCCTGTGCCTGTGCCGCAAAATAAATAGGTACGCTCTATATACTCGTAATTTGTTACCCGTCAATCGATACAGAGAATGATGTACCGATATCTCGTTAAGTATATTAATGGATTTCGTAAACGTCTGCTCCTTATCGTGAAATTAAAATTTTTTAACTCGAATCGATTTGTTTGTGAAAAGAATCCTTAAATTCTAGAGGGATAAGAATCAAATGTTTTCTAAATTCCTACACTTTCGAAAGATAAGAAAATGTGTTTTTAAATTCTAAAAAGATAAGACTCAAATGTGTAAATAATTAGATGGCTTGTTTTAATAAGATATTGACGAGTTCTCGTTATATCTCTTTTAAGGTAAACGGTTTACTCGACATATTGACAACAGTCCATTTGTCTGTCAAGTCTATCTGTCGATAAATCATTATCTGGAGCTTTACATGTTCATGGTTGACTTTTCCAATTAGCTCAAAAATCAAGATTACATCTGACTCCGAAAAAAACATGCAGAAGTGTTGAAAAATTATATCTTTTTATAAAAGCGAACAGAAAAAATAGATGATCGAAAAAGAAAAAAATTAAAAGATCCAATAAAAAGTATTTGAAGCTTAAACATTTTGAAAAACCTCGATTTTTTCAAGATTAATATATTGTAAAATAAATATCTATCATTTCTGTTCAGGAATCTAAGTTGAAGTTTTAAAAGAAAAGAAAAAGTTTTAAAAAGATTATATCCCCAGATTGATATAAAAAAAAGTAATAAGAAAATAGCCATAATTTTGCAAAGGAATTTTTATTTATTTACGAAAATTTTTCTGAACGATTAATGAACCAAACATAAATACATTATTTACTATTGTAACCAACATATATTAATGTCGAACAAAAATTAAATTTTTTACACAAAAAATACAGTAACTATTAACATACAAAAATGAATTCGTGTTGACGTATTTCTTATTAACGGAAAATTTACACGAAGAAGATTTAATTGAAGCTTCTAACGCGTAGTTCTCATATTATACTGCTGTGTTAGGAACGATCGATTTCGCCGAAACGGTTTATTTAATCTGCTGAAAGACTATAAGTTGAAAAGCAGAGATTGCTGTAACAGAAACGCAATTTCGTTTGTATCGAAAGCCAATACTTGATTTATCATTCAATTGGCTAACCTTCATGTCAAAATACTATACGCTATCAGCTGCGACTAAAATATCTGTCACAAAGGCGTAGGTTATTCGACGATCATCGACTTATGACTCAGATTTATTCTCTGCCCGTCTAAACTATTTATAACTTACAATTATAATGCTGCTATAAATGGTACGCAATTTATTATCTTCATTCGTTTACTTTTTGTATATGGCATTTTTCACTCATTTGTATTTATTTTTATTTATATGTTATATTTCTTTCTTTTTTATATATTTCGTGATTCTTCAAAATCAGCATGAGATTTTTAGATATTAATCGGACACCTTATAAATATATTGAAGTATATATATATATGTATATATGCATATAAATTAACTATAATACTCCTTTAAATTGCGTAATTTACTACTAATTATCTTTTATAAATTATTTTATATTTAAATAATTTTATAAAAGTCAATTAGTATTAATAGACTTTTATAAATTATTCAATATTTGAGAGAGGGTGACGTGAAATATCATCCTCTTTCGAAAGAGGAACATTTATATATGCCGCGATTTAATATAATTAAAAAGAGAAAGATTAGAGAAATCGTCGGTTAAACGTACATTTTTGCAGAATTAAAAGATCTTTG